TTTTAGCCCAGAAGCTTCCTTGTCCAAACATCTGTGTTTAAACGCCTACAGTATAATTAAGCATTTGCAAAACGTCCCCCCTGCGAAGCCACCTCGATCGTCCTGACCTTCTGCCGGTAGACGTCCGATTTCACCAACCCTGTTTTAGTTGTCGACCAACCTGAATCCCGAAAGGGCCCCCTTTTGTAAAAGCCCCCTTTCAGCTTTGCCGATATAGGGTTTAGAGTTTAAAGGGGTTTAAGGTTTATGGGTTTAGGGGTTTCGGGTTTAGGGGTTTATGGGTTTAGGGGGTTTTGGGTTCTAGCTGGTGTGTTCTGGTGGAGGTGGGGAGTTTAGGCACTATGGAATGCTTTGGGGTCTTCAGGCTTCGACATTCTGTAAACTGTAATCAAACTGCATGGTCTTTTAGCCATAGGGTTCATGGTGGAGGGCCGATAAAGGAGCATACTTGTGATACATACCAGATAACAGAGAATTGAGTGAGGCAGTATTATCCCTGTCAGCTGTCCTGGTTTCGGTCCACCGAGAAGATGGTGAATGGAGCGCTTCACCCCCGCATTATGCCCCGCTTGCAAAGCAGAGAGGGGGTATCCAGCTCTAGGCTGCGAGTTTGGGCAAGTAAGGACTGTAGGAATTACATGGTTTTCTCATAGTTTTGAAAAGGGTTTCAGGCGCATGGAATTAAACTCTTAACCCTAAGCCCTAAACCCTAAACCCTCAGCCCATGCAAGTCCTTGCACTCGGAGTGGCGAGGGTTCTGTAACTTCGGGTCCCTTTGAGGGGAGACGGTTTGGAATACACGTCCCCTAAACGGAGATCTTGCCCCAAAAGTTAACCCGGCGTTAATGGCCGTTGCTTTGGAGGTTAGGTGATTGGGGGAACAATTCACACCTCTGTACACAACTCTGATTCTATATATATATATATATATGTATATATGTGTATGTATATGTATATGTACATACACAGATACACACACATACTTCTAGAGTTATATATATATATGTATGTATACACATACATACATACATACATACGTACATACATACATACATACGTACATACATACATACATACATACATACATGCATGCATGCATACATGCATACATGCATACTTGCATACATGCATGCATGCATGCATACATGCATACATGCATATATATATATGCTTTATGCTTAGTTAGATGTTTAGTCACATATCTACTTCTTTTGCTTTATGTGGAAAATTGTGTGCCTATGCACATATGCGCTACGATTGTAACCTTGCCTACTGACATGCCGTGAGCTCAGTGCGAAGCGAGGAAGAGCTGGCCCGGCAAAGGATGTTAGTAGAACTGAAGGATTTAAGGTGGCTGGTGAAGGGTTTGGGGTTCTCGCAGTTTAGGGAGCTAAGGGATTAAGTTGGCTGGTTTAGGGCTTGGGGGTTAGAAACAATTTAGGGATCTAAGAGATTTAAGTTGGATGGTTCGGTGCGTTGGGGTGAGAGGGCGGTTTAGGCATGCCAGGGCTAGGGATGTAAGGCCCCAGTGTGACGTGGTGGGGTCTAAGGGAATTCAAAGGCTTCGGCTTCATGGTTTTGGGGATTTAGGTTTGCAGGCCATCCGAGAAGTCGTCCTAGGCCTAGGCACAGAGGGGCAACGGGTTCGAGGGGCTTGCAGACGCCCTTATGGTTTTAAGAGCTTAACTATTTTTTCCGAGGACTACGTACTGGGGAGGTATGTCTTTCTACCCAAGTCTCGAGCATGTTGTCACCTAGGCTAGGCTGCTCTTGGGGGTGAACCAGCAATTCCTCGAAAGAGGTTACAGCTTACATGGAGTTCGCTCGTGATTTTGTGCTGCACAGAGAGAAAAAGCTTGCAAATACCTAAATCTATCAGCCCCCAAACGGCCCTAAAGACGAGCACTGCGCGGGGAAAGTAGATGCCAAGACGGGCGCCGTAGTTTGCTGTAGGAGCTAGGGTTTAGGTTGTAGGGATGACTAACTGGTAACCAAGCCCAGTTGCAAAAAGGGATGACTAACTAGACTGTTACAAAAAGGGTCGAGTCATCGAAATCTAAATGGTATTTCTGGGAGACACCCTCAACCCTGTTTCTGTTTGTTTGGAGGTTCCTTTCACGGACAGGTCCGAACTCAATTCCATCCGTTTCTCCGTTCGAGGTAACCAAGTGGAATCCACAATACTCCCGAGCATCATGAACTGAACGCCCTTGTGATGTTCTAGACTTGGAACATACGTGGTCATTAAAACGGCGAGTTTACCTTGTGGTAGTTCCGGAAGTAGCCGCAGTACCCGATCCTGCACTTCAAGCCAGACTCCATACCCTATCCCTGAATGTAAATCCTCCAGGAAGTCCTTTTGCCCAAGCCTCGAATCAGACCTCCAGTTTCCTTGAGCTCAGGCCAGATCCGTGTGATGCCCCGACTGGTGTTGCTGAGACTACTGAGAGGGTTCGGGCATTGAGCAATGGAGGCGATCTTTAGTGGAGGTGCTCTTTAGAAAGGTTTTTTCTGTTCGCAGCGTAAGCATGAGGGTTTATGCGTTTGACCAGATATGGGGCGACTGTCACGCATGGATCTTGCCTATGGTGGTGGTCGTCATAGCACGGTCGTCCTCGTCTCCGGAGCAGTCCTTGTTGTTCACCCTACCCACTTTTGTTGCTCGTTACCCTCCGGGTCCATCTACAGCAACGTTAAGCTTGAGGTGATAGCTCCCCGAAGCCCGACACAACCCTGAAGCGATGACATTACTTGCAGCTGGGAGAGTGGGTGCATGAGTCCGAACATAAGGATGAAAAGGGCCGCGGACCCCAGTAGATTATGGCATGTTAAGATAAGACTGCATTCGGGAACATCAGGAGTTGAAGTGTTCAGTTTGGGCTTTGTTGTTCTGCGGATCCTTTTAAGCGCGTGCTGGGGGTGCAGGGGCCATATGTCCCATATGCTGGTCAAGGGAATGACTACTCCTAAATAATTACCAATTCTATGTTGGGGGTTCCTTAGTATGATAGTAGTAGTAGTAGTAGTAGTAGTAGTAGTAGTAGTATAATCTACCCCCCCCCCAAAACCCTATTCTAATTATCAAGGCCCCTACATTCTGGGGCTCAGGGTTTTCGCGGTTGGAGGCTCTAGGCTCTAGAAGTTAGGCGATGGTTTGTCCATCATTTGGTTGTCTCTTTCTCACCTGGTTTCAGATATGATCCATGCACTCATAAAGTATTTAAGTTGGTCTTTAAGTAGTCTCTGTACAGGTGCTTTAGGGCCAAAGTAGATACTACAGCCATTCGTCCTTAGGGAGTGGTTGTTGTTAGTGATACTATACTATACTGCGATGTACGATACTTTGTTTACTGTACATGATACTCGACGGTAAGAAACTATACGTCGAAGATGTGCATGTTTGCGGCTTCCAGTGCGAAAGAACACAGCCTTCTATGGGCAAAAGGGGGTATTAGGGTTAGGGAGACTCTCTCTCTCTCTCTCTCCCTCTCCCTGTGTCTGTGCATGCTTGGGTTTGAGTCTGTCCCGGTTTGGTTTTGTTGGGCTGGTCTTGTTTACACACACAGGTAGCGCAAGTGAAATAGGGAAATCGTGTTGCCCTTGTCTGAAGCGCGTTGCTCGCAGAGGTGTCATTAGGACTCCAAGCAGTAAGGAGCACGAGATCCGCTACTATGTGGTTGTTAGTTGTGCTGCTCAAACATACCCCAATACCACGAAGACTTCTGGCTTCATAGGTTGGGACCATGTTCCCTAAACCCTAAACCCTAACCCCTAAACCCTAAACCCTAAACCCCTAAACCCTAAACCCTAAACCCTACCTAAAGCCTAAACCACAAAAACCCGAAGCCGCAGGCTTTATCCCAGCACTCTGACGAGCCGAGGTACCGGAGGTACCCAGCGAGGACGTGGGCGCCGAACCCACGGAAAGTCTTGAAGAAGTCGCCGTGCGACTGATTCTTGGACAGGCTCAGGGTTCGTCGTTGGTCTAGGGTTTAGGGGTTTAGAGTCTAGGGGTTTTAGGCTTTTCCAGACCCAAACCCCCCGAAAGGATCCAGAAAGTGGAACCCCCAAGAGGCTTCCCACCAAAATGCGGGTGGCATTGGGCCTTTTCTTTCAGACGGTGTCTATGTCTATGGCATGTTTTTGCATCCATGCACCGGTCTCCGCATCGGTCTGGGGAAGTCGGTTTAAATGGGCCTACACCCTAAACCCTAAACCCTAGCAAGCTGGATTCTGGTTGGCAGTGGGGGGAACAGCATGTCAGGAGGTCCAAACCCAGTATAGCTCAATAGCACTCTTGGTTTAGGGTTGAGGGTTTAGGGTTTACGGTTTAGGGTTTAGGGCTCAGTCGGCTCAGTTCAAAGATAAGAACCCAAGAAGTTGAGGTGGGGCCTGGAGCCTTTTTGATTCAGGGCGCTCTGGGGGTCCGCTGCTGTTTTTTGGGACTCTCATCGGTCCAGAATGTAATGTAAGCCTCCGTGTCGATAGTAGTAATGTTGTAGGAATACCCTTAAACTCCAAGACCTCACATTCTAAGGCTTTTGGCCCAAAGACCATATTATGTAAGGCTTTTGGGCTATTTTGAGCCTTAGGATTCTGGTAAGTACAGGGCTTGAGACGAAGGATGTAGGACGCACAATTGAGGGTTTGCAGTTCGCAGTTGCTGTTTTCCATCCATACCCTACACCCATAACCCTAAACCCCAAACCCGCAAGCAACAAACCCCTAAACCCGAAGGACCGCATCCCCGAAATCCTGAAATCCGAAACTCGTAAACCCGAGACGCCCAAGGCATCCCAAAGCGACTCCTACAAGAGATTCATACCAGCATACCCTGCGGTTCCCAGTTATGTTATGTACGCCATAAGGTTTCCAGTTATATTATGCCGCACATAAGCCCTGTTCTAGCCATTGCTCCGGCCCATAGTAGCAACCCTTATAGAAAATCCATTAACCCTATAGCAACAACAGTACCAGCCCTTAGAATCACCGATTCTGCCGGCTCTTCGCCTTGCACAGCCCTAAACCCTAAATCCTAAACCCTAAATCCTAAACCCTAAACCCTAAATCCTAAACCCTAAACCCTAAACCCTCAACCGACAGGTCTCTCGGCCGGAGCGCAAAGGATATGCAGCCCGGCTTCCAGTCTCGGGAGGAAAGGGCTTGTAGGGTTTGGTGTTGGAGCTCGTAGGGTTTATAATTTATAGGGTCTAGGATGGTTTTCCGTTGTTGTTTTAATAGGGTTTTCGGATTAATTGGGGTTAGCGATTTACAGTTTAGCGTTTAGGGGTGTTGGAGGGTTGGATTTCTAGTGTAATATAATAGCAGTTTGAGCACATAGAGATACGATAATAGCAGTTTGAGCACATAGAGATACGACTTGCTGTAGCCCCGTGTAGTTATACGAGTTATAATTATAGTATTCCTCAATCCCCTTGATCGAAATACCCTAGACCTTAGTCCCTATACCAGGAGCTGAGGGCTTGAGGATTTAGGGTTTAATGAGGATGTCATCGATAGGTTTTTGGTGAGGTTGACGAGTTTCCGGTTGAAGGTCGGGGGTTGAAGGTTGTGTTAGGTCATTCGTTTTTTTCGGTTTATCGTTTAGGGGTTTAGGGTTTAGGGTTTAGGTTGTGAGTCCGGTTGAGGAGATTGGGGGACCTTGAGGGATGTAAGGCATGCATGGGCTTTCGCTCAAGTGCGGCAGGTTTGCCTAAGCCCTCAAGCCTGATCCTTCCTAATCATAAGGCTAGCCAAACCTGAAACCGTAGACCGTGAGAAGAAGTCGCCCCTGAACCCGAAACCCTGAAGCTCCGGCATCGTATCCCGAAGCTGGACTGAGTCCTGACTAGGCAGCTGACGTAAGTGGAGCCTTGAATGTGGGGGGGGGGGGGGGGGGGG